TTATGGAGGAATCACAAGATAGAAGAAGCAGCGTGGGAGCGTGAAGAGGACATGAGAAATCAGTACCCCCATCTCTTTATACAGTGAAAATTCGAGGACAAATTTTCTTAAGGGGGAGATTTGTAATATCCTAAACACTTGGTTAGTGATCAAATTGTAAAATTTTAGAATTTATTGACTAACGTAGATAAATTGAAAAGTTCAGGGACTTATATGGAAAATTTTATGTAGGACTGAATATCAAAAAAGGATGATTGGAAGGGCAAAATGGTCATTTGAATGAATGAATTAAAAATGGGTATGGGTTAAGATATATACATGTGGAGATTTGAAAGAAAAGGGAAAAGAAATATCCAAAGAACTCTTCTTATTCCTCCTCTTCCAGCCGTGAGATACCAAAAAGCAAAGGTAAGTTGTTTGCTAGTTTATTATCCATTGAATTTAAGTTTGGTTTATGTTCCTTAGATGATACTTAAGCTTAAGGAAAGCTTAAGTTGTCCTAAAACCAAAAGATGAAGGAGTTATGAAGGATTAAAGATGAGAGGTTTATAAGTGAAATCTTGGAAGAGAGTTAGTAAGTAAAGTTTAAGACTAAAATTGACTTGTCATCAGCTAAATTAAGAAGTATGAAGTGTTAGAATTGAATTTGGAGTATGTTGGAAAATTTGTAGGATTCTTGGTTTCAAGATTTAGGATGAAATATTGAAGATGAAATATTGAAGATGAGTTATATGAATATATGATAGGTTAAGTAAGTTGAGTTAGGTTAAGTAAGTTGAGTTAAGTTAAGTTTAGTAGTATGAAAGGAGTTCAAAATGGAAGGTATATGTAAGTATGGGTGAATTTTTGAGCTAAAAATATGAATTTTGGGCATGAGGTATCGGTACTGTTCATCCGGTATCGATACTTCCAAGAGATAAGGGTCAAAATTTGAGAGAGGGTATCGATACTATATGAATAAGTATCGATACCATAAGCTAAAATTGGACAAATTAAGCAAGGGGTATCGATACCTAAAGGGTAGTATCGATACCAAGAGCACCGATATCATAAGGCATGTATCGATACCATTTTGAAATAAGGATTCCATAATCGGGAAAGGGTATCGATACCCAGACTCGGTATCGATACAATATTTAGGGAAGTATCGATACCATACCTTGGGTATCAATACTATTCAAAGTGGAAAATTGTATTAAGCCTTTCTTTTAGCTTGAGTTATTAAGGATCAGATTATAATAATTAGAATTCTGATATTTATATCAAATGTATGATTGTGTAGATATCGAGCATAAGCAAGTTCTGGAACGATCGAAGAGTTAGAAAAGATCAAGAGAAAGATAAAGTCATAGAAGTGGATTTGGGTTAAGGGAGGCTAAGGTGAGTACATCATAGTTAGTATAGATGTTGTTTTATGGAAATAAGACTTGTGATAAGTTTATTTTCTATATTTGATTTCATGATTTCGTATTCATGTGTATGCATATGTTATGATTATAATAAGTACATGCATAACTTACACATGCTTTAATACAATATGATATATGATGTATGCGAACATAAGAGAACAAATCTAAGCTATATGTTATAAGATAAATGATTATATATGTACATGTGAAGTATGAGATGTGGTTACATGAGAAATGATAAAAGATATATGAATATATGGAACACATTAATATTTAAGCCCATGATATATGATATGAGAACTGTTTGTATAATTGGTATGCCAAGATTCGAGGGTTCTATGTGGTCCTTCGGGATATATATATATATATATAATCATTTTGAATACATATTTTGTCCTTTGGGACACATATTTGGTCATTTGGGACACATATTTAGTCCTTTGGAATATATATATGTGATCCTTAAGGAGTAGTAATTCGGGACATCTATGTGGTCCTTCGGGACATATATGTGGTCCTTCGGAACAAATTCTATGTGCCCCTAGTGGGAATTTATACGAGTTGTGGTGACAGCATATGTGCACAACCTCAATGTACTCATGTACCTTAGGATCTCAGTAATGTACATGGGCACACAAAAGATAAATTGAATTAAACTCCTTATAAGATGATATATATCATTTGTGCATTCCATGATTATGTATGTTATGGTTGAGTAAATATATGGAGATTGTAATTTCATGTTAGAATTATAGGATCGAATGTTTCATGAATTCATTATTGCATGTTTATATTCTGCCTCATTAAGTCTATGACTTAGCTATGAGTGTTTCACACGTAGGTACCAAAAAGCAGGAGTGTCAGAATTAGGAGTTGCAAAGACAACATACCTCTACCAGCAGATCAGATCAGAAGTAATTCGCAAAGTATGTATTTTGTTGTATCAAGTGTGTTGTCATGTAGACAAAGTTGTGAATTACATATGCTCTGATTTATTTTGTATTATTTTGGTCAAACTTATGTAACTTAACTAATTTTATTTTATTGAAAGTTTAGATTTTCATGATTTTGTAAGAGTCAAAGTTTTGAAAAGTCAATGTGACACCTCACATTCGTATCCGGGTCGAGTACGGGTTGGGGTGTTACAGGAAATGTTTTGAATGGTTAACGTGACATCTCTAACTCGTATTCGGATAGGTATACGGGATTGGGGTATTATACGATGATTTCATATACATTGACAATTTACATTAAAAAAATATTTTTAAATAATTCCTACATAGAAAAAGGAAAAATAAAAATTTTACTCTTAATATATACTAAATTTTCAACCTAAAAAATGTATTAGCTAAAAACTTTTAACCATTTATTCTATAAATTGCTAACTACGTTAAGAAACTTTTAGGGGGCATTTGGTTCACAGAAAATATTATTATTTGGGTAATGATCTTTTTATGAATCACATACTCATGTTTGGTTCAAGAGCATTCCTTCCCAGGAGTAATGAAATATTCCCAATAGTAACAATTTTTTAATCTTTTATCAAGAATGTCATTCCCTCTATTTTCTTAGGTATTAGACAATTTCCTCCTATTTTAGACAATAATACCCCTAAAATAATATATGAGTTGTTACTTTAAGATTTTTAAATCTATTTTATTTCTTTTTTAATAGTTTAGGATTTTTAATACTTAATACCTTTATTTTTTAAGATTAATTTTCATAGAAGATTTTTATATTATTTTTTATTAATTTTATCATATAATTTGATATGATATTAAGTTCTACAACTCATACATGTAGCATAAATAAAAAAATGTAGCAATTAATACATATTTACACCGGTGTAAATATGTACATCTCTCAATATCTTGGTACCTAAAAATAAACACATACTTACATCTGTGTAAGTATGCATACCTCTCAATATGGTACCTAAAAATAAACACATACTTACACATGTGTAAATGTGTACACCTGTCAAAAATCTTGGTACCAAAAAATAAGCGCATATTTACACTAGTATAAGTATGTATATCTCCTAATATCTTAATACCTAAAAATAAACGCATAATTATATTAGTGTAAATATGTTTCTGTATTTTCAAAGAAATAAATAATTAAAAATAAAAAAATATATATTAAGTTATTTGTGTAAATATTTTATTAAAATATATAAAAATAAAAAATAAAAAAATTATACTCCATCCGTCTCATAATTTGTGTCTTATACTGACTATGCACATAATTTTAAGAGATAGATTTGACCATTTTTTTTATAGAAAGCCGCTAATTTTATTAAAAATATGAAATATTCAGAATTGCAATGAAGGTTTACAAGTAAAATTGTAAGCATAAATTAAAATATAATTAAGACATTTTTCTATAACCATTGACACAAAAAACTAGCCACTTAGATCACACAAATATTAAAGAAGGAAAAGGTTAAAAACATAACCTAAAAACTCGAACAAAATATAGATACGAACAAATCTAACAGTATCGGTAAACGAAAAAACAAAAGGGAATGAAGCTACTGAAAGATCACTAACAAACCGTAAATCAAAGTCGAGCGATGTGAAAAAACTATCAACAAATGCAAATCGTGTATCTAAATCAATCTGAGGGTCCAAAGCATGGAAAATCAACATGATAACAAATAAGTGTCATCTTGATCAGTCGTGGCGATGTCAAATCCAACCCTGAAAAAAAAGATAAATAAAAACAACGACAAAAGGATCTAAGACGTACCAAAAGATAGAGAAAATGTGTTATAAAAACATAGTAAAATGTATTATAAAGATAGAGTTATTAAAAAATTAACATAACAAAGGAAAAAATATATAATATAAGAAATTAGATGAAAAAAATACTAACAGAGACAACCAACATTAAGATTGGTGTCGCCGTCTACAACCAAAGAAGAAAAAAAGAGCAAACGACTAAAAAATTTAGGGTTGGGAGAAAAAGTTAAATTGTGAATTTTAGATTTAACAAATTTATTTTGATAAATGTAAAAGAGTGAGTTGTATAAAGTAAAAAAAATGAAATATAAATATTGTTGTTTGTGACTTTTCAAACATTTTGAATAAAATAATTTTAAAAATTAAAGAGATGCATTTAATAGGACAGATAGAGAGTTTTAAATTAACTTTCATGTAAATATTTTTATTTTAATATTGAAAAATTATTATTTTTAAATATATATATCTTAAAGACAAATTTAGTAAGACATACAATTTTTATATTTTATATTTTTTCAACCAAATATCTTATATTCTTACTGAACAAATCTAAACAAAATAATATAATATTTCTAATAATATGTTAAGTACTATAACATTCTAATATCATCAAACAAATCACCCCTAAAATAACAACAATAATAATAAGCTCTAGAATACTCTTTGAGAAAAAAATGTCAAACCAACCGAGTGGCAGAGTCGTAATTAACGCAGGTTCAAATGCCCTATAAATAATCCAGAATCGGACCATTCTGGAAACCTTTTTATTTATTTTTCAAATAATTTGTAATTAATCAATTTTGTTTTGTGGATTTTGACATCCATAAATAAAACCCTAACCCTAAAAACCTAACCTTTTTATCATCGATCTCTTTTTCTCTGTTTTTTTTCCCTTCTGCGAAACAAATGTCTCACTTTGGAAGGTCAGGCCCTCCCGATATCTCCGACACCTACTCTCTTCTCATCCTCAACATCACCTTCCGTAAGCTTCTCTTTCCATGGCTTCCCCGTTGATTTCTTCTTTGCCGAGAGTTTGATTATACTATCTGCTAAAGAATCTTTTATTTTGGTTTTGAATTTGTTCAGGAACCACCGCTGATGATTTGTTTCCGTTGTTCGACAAGTACGGGAAAGTCGTTGACATCTTCATCCCCAAAGATCGAAGGTTATTGATCTTCCTATTGATAAAACTTTATTATCTTTTGTTGTTGTTGGAAATCTGTAAGAGAATAATTTTTATTATGATAGGACTGGCGATTCTCGAGGCTTTGCATTTGTGCGATATAAATATGCTGACGAGGCTCAGAAAGCTGTGGATAGGCTCGATGGTAACCAATCTTCATCTCCTAGCATCACACGAGATTTTTTTTTTTTTTTGCGAAAAAGTTTCCTATTGATTGCGAAATTGACTTGATTTTGTAGATAACTGGTTGCAGTATATGAAATTTTCTGTCATCTTGTAGGGAGAGTCGTTGATGGTCGGGAGATAACAGTTCAGTTTGCAAAATATGGGCCTAATGCAGAGAGGATGTAAGTTGTGTGTGTGCTCGTTTTTGTTGGATTATTATTCAATTGCTTTTACACCTGAACAGATTGTGAGCTTTATGTGGAAAAGATATATGCAGCGTGGTAATTTATTTAGTGTAAATGTTGTGGTGCAATTTTTTTTAACTTATCAATTTAGCTCCTTATCTCACATGTGTTTAATATTTCTAGTAGTTTCAGTATTAAGGTCTCTGATGTACTATTTCTTTTTCAGTCATAAAGGAAAGGTTATTGAACCAGTTTCAAGGTCAAGATACAGGTCGAGAAGTCGCAGCCCTCGCAGAAGGTAAGCCATTTACCACCCCCCCACCCAAATCTTTTTCCCCTTCTTACTTCTTAGAAGACTTTTGATTTTTGCATTTTTGTACTGTATTGCATTTTCTTTTATGATAAATTATGGCTGTTTTTTAGAAAGGATGATGTTATACTTTTTTCTTATGAACGATGCAGTCTTGATTATGTAGCATGAACTTGATTGTATTAGGTGTCGGTTGTTCTAAACTAATAAATTAAGTCAATATTTATCTGCTTGTTCCTAAATTGAATGTCTGGACAAACTGGGTTTTTTTTACCAATATACATCTTGAAATTTCTAATTTAACTTTTGTCAGATTTGAGTTAAAGAGGGGAAGCTTGCTTGGTTTGTATATGTGATGCTTTTAAGCTTGTTTTAATAGCCAAAAAATATGGGGATTAATTATATTTGTTTATGAGCTTATCTCTAATCATCTCATCTGATATGCATTCAATTCAATATCGTAAGGCATCGGGATGATTATTACAGAGACAGGGATTATAGTAAAAGAAGTCGTAGTAGGAGTTCTGACCGGTATGAACGTGATCGATATCGTGGGAAAGACAGAGACTATCGGCGTCGAAGCAGGAGCCGGAGTGCAAGTCCTGACTATTCTAAAGGACAAGGAAGAGGGCGCTATGATGATGATCGACGGAGTGGCAGTCGATCAATGAGGTTTATATTTTTTACTTTTCTCTCATGTCAGAATGTCCATTTTCTTTTAATTTTCAATTATTTTATGCTTCATCTTTGTGATGATACCCTTTTATTTCAGTGCTTCACCTGCTCGCCGCAGCCCTAGTCCTCGGAAGAGTCTTTACCCACGCAAGGCATCTTATCCCAGGGTTGAAAGTCCTGACAGACGCAGCCGTGGCAGAGGATCTCCAAGTCCTCGAAGTGTTTCACCAAGGGGCCGTCTTGCTGATTCCCGTAGCCCATCTCCTCGGAACTCTGATGTTGATGTGAGTTTCACTCTCTAATTTATTTTCCCCCTCCCCCTTCTTTGTTTAATCTTTTTTAGTTAAATTACCTATGCAAGCAGTTCTAATATTTTACCGTTTACTTTTGCATTTGAATTTTGTAGGAATGATCTTACGGATGGATTACTCGAGACTTTAAATAGCATATTTCTTGTTGCTATCTTGCTAGTCTTGTGGACATTCACATGTGTTTCACAGCATTGGTAGGACTTTTATGTTTTTAATTGTCCTGAACCTTCTTTCTCCATTACCTAAGCAGCAGTGTCTAGGTATCTAAACTTATGTAGTTTCGAGCTTGGTGTTTCAGTATCGACCAAAGAGTTTGTGATGTAAGCTTGTTATTTTTTCTTCTTGTTTCCCAAACTAATCTCATGGAACCACTTTATTGAAATGTTCCTGGTCTTCTCTTTCTTTCTAGTTATTGTGTTTTCTATATTCTATGAATGCTGATTCATCTCAAACCATCTGTTGGGTTTTATAGCAATGTTCGGGAAAAGAGTGGCCTGAGAAAATGGACATGATGTTGATGTTGTGGCTGTTGATGCTGTTTATGTCTGTAGATGAGTGATCGTGATTGTGATGCTGGTGTATGCTGATTGCAGGGACAATCTGTTAAGTATTTTTTAAACTGATATGATACTCGGTGAGACCTGTAGTATTAAGTTTTGATTTTTAGAATGCCTCTGCATCATTCAGGTGTTTGTTTTTCCCTTTCGGCTATCCCCTGGGGCTATCCCCCGGATTTACTCCTTTCGAAAATCAGCACAGAGGTTTAGTTGAATGCTATGCATGAGACCTGATGCTGATTCTAGTAGAGAATGTACACTGTGTTGATCTGAACCTTGCAGCTACAGTCATCCAAGGAAATAACCTTTTTGTGCCCCTCTGTAACTGTTGCATTTGCATATTCCGTTATGTTTAATTGTACCCTAATATTTTTGAGATGTAGAGAAGCTGGCCATGACTGTAGCTGTGAAGTGGTGGTGGTGGTGGTGGTTATTCTAGTTTGTTGTATGGTACACATGGGTCGTCGTGTTTAACCGTAGGCTACCAACAAAAAACCTGTAGCAGGCTGTTGCGGCTGTTCGAGTAACATTGATTATGGACTTAGCGTTTGCCTAGCTTTCCTGTTGGTCTGCTCGAAGGCAACGATTTCTTTGGGGTCATGTCAGTTTTATACTATTTATCTGTCGTTTTCGTTTTATCTGTCCCAAAATGAAAAAAAAAAATCGTTATTTGGATCCCTCGAGAGGAGAACATGGTGGCTGACGGAATGGCCAAGCTTGATTTCCACAAAGATTATCAGATGCGTACGTTCATGCTTGACGCCATCAGACCAAGAGTTGACCGTGATATCAGGTGCCCCCTTATGCTAAGTTTGTAACCAGCTAATAGGCTTTGCCCATCTTTTCTATTCAAAAAAAAAAATCGTTTGCAACTGTTATAGTACTGATTGTTCTCTAAAACAGATCGCTGTTTGCTAATCTGTTGTAGTATTTGTGGTCTTGGTAAAAAGAAATATTATTTCTTTTTAGAGAATCCGGGTTCGATCAAATACGTCTGTGTTGTCAATAGGTTAAATCTTTTTTGAACCTGTATTACTTGGTAGATACTTTATACTGTTAAAAATTTATTTAGGGATGATAATCTTAATATATATTACTTTGTAAATACTTTGTACTATCAAGAAGGATTATTTAGGGATTACAATTTAATCTCAAATCAATGGATTTTGACTTGATTTAATTTGATAGGGTTGAATTTTTTAGAAACACCTTTGGGTTTGATTTGGGTTGGATTAAATTTTTTTTTGGAGTGAGGTTAAGTAGTGTTGGGTTTATATGAAGGGTGAAAAGATTGACCCGACTTGGCATTCTCTTTAAGTCTCTATCCCATTAAATCAGTTTATTGTTGACTTTTTTTGTTCATTTTTTTACTTTGATTCGTTATTATTTAAAATCTATTATTAATAAAAATAGGATAAATATATTTTTTAAAAATCTTCAATTAAATAGTTTTGGAATATATATATATATATATACATTTATAGAATTTTTTTAAAAAATATATAAAATAATTATGGTAAAGTTTAAAGATTTTGATTTTTGAAAAAGGACAATTTTAGTGGGATGGAGGGAGCATCATTTTTTTAAAAAATTTATAGATAATTGTTATAATATTTCTTTTATATATTTTTTTAAGTTTTATTAGGTTCGATTGGATTGGAGTTATATTCTAAAATTTTAGGTCAAGTCGGAATCAGGTGGATGATATATTTTTTATCAGATCAGACAGAGAATATATATTTTTTGATCAGATTGAATTAATCAAAAACTTTATCCGATATGATATTATCCCTAAAATTATTAATGCATCTTTACTCTGAAGGAAAAAAGTAAGATAAATTACGGCTTACTCACTAAATTTTATTCTCTTTCCTATTTCATTCATTGTACTTTAATTTTTTCAATTTACTCACTGAACTTTAGACATTGAACTTTTTTAATCACTTGTTCAATGATAGATTATTTTAATGTTTTCTCATATGACATGTTATGTTTTTATTAATAGTTTAATATTATTTGGGATTATAATAAAAATAAATTTAAAAATATTAAAATATACATACAAACCCTAAAATTAAAATTCGAAACCTCACATTCAAGTTTTCATGGTAGTCTGGGTTAGTGTCGTCGGTGACTACGATTGAGGTAGTCCCACGGTGGTCTATGATGACCTTTTTCTAGTGTTGAATCATTGATTAAGTCGAGGTAATTTCTTTTTCCCCTTGGGTGTTGAATCATTAATTTCTTTGTTGGAATTTTTGGTATTTTTGTTGTGTTTGGGTTTTGGTTTTTGGTTTTGAACTAAAATCAACAAAGGGTTAATTCCATGATTGTTTTGATTAGTTTGGTTGAGGGCCCTAAGAGATGAACAAGAGAGTGAGGGGTAGAGGTGAACTTGACCGTTCGTTGGTGGGAGAGTGATCGCCGGTGGAAGGGTGATGGTAGGTGCGGTTGTAAGTTGGGTATTAGGGTTTGGGATATACTTTGAGAGTTTGGGTATAATTAAAATTTTTTAAATTTATTTTTAATCATATTTGGTACTAAAAATATTAAAAAAATATGACATCATATGGAAAAATAATAAAATAATCCATGTCATATTTTGCATTGACTAATTCGAACCGACCCGTGATGCACACTGATTTTGATGGGTGATTCCCAGTGTTGTAACCGGTTTTCGTCCGGGCACGAATTTTTTACTTGGCGGGAAAAGTGATGTGAATAAATGGTTTTTTTTTTAAAAAATAATTTGGGAGTCGCCATCGGCCTTTTGGGTTAGGTAGGTCGAATACCTAAAAATTATCTTTTAAAAGAGTTTTAAGAAAACATCAATTAAAAGATGAACTGATCTGCGTTTATAACCAAAAATTTGTTCTTTTTAATAATAAAAAGGGATTCGTGGTCGGTTACGTTTAGAGAAGGATTAGCACCCTACAACGCCCAAAATTGGTACTTTTTAATTATAAATTATCTCTATTATTAGAAATTAAAAATATATTTAATTTATAATCCTATTTAATTCAAATATTTTTAAGAAAATATATTAAACATAAATAAGATATTTACTTATTTAGAAATATCAGAAAAGGACTTCTAGGTGCCTTAAGACAGCTCTTTCTTCGATATTAATAAATTTATAATAATTTAAATAAAATTAAATTATAATTTTTTATAATATTTAATTTTAAAATACCAAAATAGGACATCCAGTTGTATTAAGACTGCCCTTTCCTTTGATATAAATAAATATTAAAATATGATAAAAAATAATTTATGTAAAATCAAATTAAGATTTAATATAAATTATTATTTATTATATATATATTTATATGACTATATATAATAATAAAAATAATAAAATATAAACAAGTAAAATTAAAACAATAATAAACAATAATAAAAATAAAATTAGAACTATATATTTAAAAGCAGTAAAACTTTATAATAAATGAAAATATTTAAAATTAGTGACTAAATTATAATCTAATAAAATTAAAATAATATAAAATATTAAAATTTATAGCCCTTATTTATAGTATTATAAAAATATAATTACTAATGATGTAATTAACCCTAATTATTAATAAGTGATTAAAATTATAATTATTAAAATTAAAGACTCTAACTCGAATAATAAAAAGATCTAAGTGCTAATAATGTAATTTATCCTTATTTAATTAATTCGGGTTAAATTGATAATTACTAAACTATAAGGGACTAAATTAGGTATTTATCCTAAATATATATATTATATTATGTAAAGGACTAAAATAAAATGAAATAAAATTACTAGATCGAATTATAATATATAAAAACATGCTATAAGGATCAAATTAAAACTTTTTAAAGTTACAGTGGCTGCGGGAATAGTTTATCCGAAAGCAAAATTACAGATATACCCCTCCCCAAAACGGCGTCGTTTGGGAAGGGGTATATACTCCCCTTCCAGCTGGCCCGAAGGGCCAGCGTTTCATTTCTCTTCTTTCTCTTCTCTTTCTAACTGAGAGAGAAGAGAATTCTCTCTCGCTTCTCTCTAGCTGAGGGAAGCCGGTCATCGGCCGGCAGCCGTCTGCCGCCGTAATCCCCACCGCCGGCCACCGCATCCGGTGGCCGGAAAATATCATTTTTACACCAAAATGTAGATCGGACCGTCCTAATGATGGTTCCGGTGTCTTTCTTCCTTAAATGGCTCCTGATCGGAGCAAATCTAAGAAAATACCTTCGGTTTTCGAAGGTTTTCGGTGACGTGTGGAGTTTCGTATGAATTCCGGTGATGGCGTGGCTTCCTCGGTAAATATCTCTCCGTCTTTTCTTGATTATTTTAGTGTTTTATGGTTGCTGGGTTGCTTTGGGTTCTCCTGTTGTTCTCCCTGTCTTTCGGTTCTCCTCATCTTTTTCATTTTTGCAGGTACGATGGCTTTATAGCCATCTCGGTCGCTTGCTCAGACCGGTCCCATGGGTAGATTTCGGTGAGTCACTGAACTATGTGGTGACTCACCCCGTAGTTATGACGTGTGGGGAACAGATGGCTTTCTGGAAAGCTCGGTGAAGGCTTGGCATGGCATCAACAACGTCGGCAACGGTTGTTTGGACCACCTGGCGTCTGAGGCGTCAGTGTTGGACATTCTGGAAGCAACGGCGGTGGCCGCGTGGCCCTAGGGTTATGATACCCTAGGGTTTCTTTGCTGGACTGCATCAGGGCCGTTAGATCATATTAGATCTAACGGCTGAGGATCTGCGGCGGTTGGGATGAAGATGTTGAAACCCTAGTTGTATTTTAGGGTTACTGTTGGGCTAGCTGATCGGGCTTGAACTGGATTGGGTCATTGTTGGGCCTTTTATTGGGCTCCAGGATTTTTATAATTTGTAATATTTAATAATAATAATAAATAATAATAATAATGATAAATAATAATAAAAACAAACTAAAAAATTAGTGTCTACAGCTGCCCCTCTTTGCTCATCCTTGTGTTAACAAGAATAGAGCAAAGACAAAAAAGACAATAATTTTTTCATTTGACTTCTTTTGAGCAGGATGGAAATGTTGAAAACATCATGCACTGAAGGGCTTACAGATGACCCGAAGGTTTTGAAAACATCAAAAAGCTCCCGAAAGCTTTTTGGAAACATCATGCACTGTAGGGCTTACAGATGACCCGAAGGCTTTGAAAACATCAAAAAGCTTCCAAAGGCTTTTTTGGAAACATCATGCACTGCAGGACTTACAGATGACCCGAAGGCTTGAAAACATCAAAAAGCTCCCGAAGGCTTTTTGGAAACATTATGCACTGCAGGACTTACAGATGACCCTAAGGCTTGAAAACATCAAAAAGCTCCCGAAGGCTTTTTGGAAACATCATGCACTGCAGGACTTACAGATGACCCGAAGGCTTGAAAACATCAAAAAGCTCCCGAAGGCTTTTTGGAAACATCATGCACTGCAGGACTTACAGATGACCCTAAGGCTTTGAAAACATCAAAAAGCTCCCGAAGGCTTTTTGGAAACATCATGCACTGCAGGACTTACAGATGACCCTAAGGCTTTGAAAACATCAAAAAACTCCCGAAGGCTTTTTGGAAACATCATGCACTGCAGGACTTACAGATGACCCGAAGGCTTGAAAACATTAAAAAGCTCCCGAAGGCTTTTTGGAAACATCATGCACTGCATGACTTACAGATGACCCTAAGGCTTTGAAAACATCAAAAGCTCTCTCGAAGGCTTTTTGAAACATCATGCACTGCAGGACTTACAGATGACCCTAAGGCTTTGAAAACATCAAAAACTACCGAATGCTTTTTGGAAACATCATGCACTACAGGACTTACAGATGACCCTAAGGCTTTGAAACATCAAAAGCTCCCGAAGGCTTTTTGGAAACATCATGCACTGCAGGACTTACAGATGACCCTAAGGCTTTGAAAACATCAAAAAACTCCCGAAGGCTTTTTGGAAACATCATGCACTG